ATATATAATGTGTATTGAGAACAGCCTTATGATTTCATAATTGTAGATACATAACTATATATAATCTAATATGACATATATATATATATACTTAATATAATATATATAAATAAGTCATAAATATATAACCCCTGTGTAATATCCAACGTTTCATGGAAGTCCCAGCTGTCCAGGCATCGCCAGACGTGCAAACGCCGGCGCGTGGAGGTCACGGAGGTCACGTTCTGTCCGAGTTCGATGGGATGACATGGAAAATCACAGGGATATGGAGGAAATCCCATGTATAAAATATTATATGTGTGTAAAGTGGATGAGATATACATATATACGGTATTATATTATATACATGTGTAATATATATTTATATGTATATATAGATATATACATATATATATATAATATATATATACATGTATATATATACGTATACAGTATTTATTTACATATATATATATACGTGTATGTATATATATATATGTATAAGTAATTTTATTATATTATATATAATTGTATATATATACAGTAATTATATTATATATGTCATATATATAATATGATTGTATATGTATGTACATGTAATATAATAATATATATATATATATATCCTAATATCAAGACAATGGGAATACACATGTAATACATGTTGACAGTTTGATGATGTAAGCAACTTGATATGTGATATTTCGTTCGTCAGAAATTTGCAGATTAACCTCCAAAGTTGCCGTTTTAGTAGGGAAGATGATGATTCACTATTTTAAGACAGACCCATACAATGAGGAGGATCTCAAGGTTTATTTACTGGTGAGTATGAAATATAGAACATTATTCAATCAGATGGGGCTTATTTTGAACAGGAATATAATAGTACTAACATGGGTTTTCACCAACACTAGGGACATAATCAATGGCACCATTCATTTCAGGTTGTTGGTTTCAAATAATATCACATACTTTTTTTGGTACCATACTTGGGCCCCAATGGCTTTTTCAAGAGAGGGGTTGAAATTGAAAGTACAAAGTTGAATAGGTGTGTCCTGAAAACGGAGGATATGTAATGCGAAAATTGGGCATGTCATGGGTAAATGGATAAATGGATAGACGATTTAATGGGTGTGGTTAATAAATGAATGGGCATTTATCCCAAAAACACGAGGGTACTAACATATTTTTAAATAGGGATATAATATAATGCACTATAATAAGGATATGATGGTGGTATACTCTGAGACATTTTACCAACTTCATGATAGAAATTAGGGATAACCGAAAAACCGTCATATACATGGAACAATGATGATCAACCTTGGGATTTTGGGACCCCAGTTCCAGACAAATCTTAATGGTGATTTTCAATGGGTGTGTTCAAAACCTGGGGGATGTAATCACGAAGAACTGAATGGGATTTGAGCCAAAGACATGTTTATATATATACATATATAGTATGAAGTGCGGACCAAGAGAACCCGGTATATATATATATATACAGTACATCTTCACCAACTCGTAAACCATGAGATTTTGGGGTTCCAGTGGTGAAACAACGGCTTAAAGCGGATGTAAGTAGCGGGAAATAGACTTTGACCATCTTTGACCCAAAAGTCAGTTTCTGTCCATGTGCTGAACAGATCTGCAACAGATCCCAGTCCCAGTCCCACATCGCAGTTTGATTAGGTGCTTGCCAATCTGGCGTACCAAACTGGCGCACATTGATAAATCTCTGGAAATTGCCATCGGACCGTTGCCAAACCGAATTGCCATCCATGGAATTACCATCCTTCTATGTCACGGTATACATTATCATATATTATCATGTCTACCTACGTAATCAGTCGATATTTGTTGTATATAGATGAGAATATGTTTCACGAGGCGGTGAACATCAATATAATATAGATGAGCATGTGCAAATCATAATGAAAGATCTGTCTAATGATGTTTCCGCTTGAGATTTTACCTTCTCAGTTGCATCAGATAGAGCCATAGCCCCAACCATGTCGTTGCCCTAAAACGCGGCCTTGGCTCAGTCACTTAAACAGATAAAGCATGAAACATGACCATGCAAACATTGAGGACATCCAAATGGACTTGTTTACGAAATCGACCAAAGAGGTCCATGCAAATGTTGAGAAAACATGACAAAACTATCCCGGTCCTAGAGCTGCAATGATTGCTTGAGGAATCCTATCCTGCAATTCTTGGAGAAAACTGGACGACTCACCCAGAAGCTCTTGAAATCCTGAATTGAATGCATCCTGTTGAGTCGCTAGCTGCGTAGTTCTTCCATCTATATGAACATTTCATGACCCACTCATATATGTTCAATATATTTTCATACACACTATATCATTTTCTTATTGGGACAATAGAACTTGAATTACACACTATTTTCACACATATATTTTCCCACACTATATGAATATCAATAGAACTTCAATCTTCTTGGGACAAAAGATCGAAAATGGATCAACGAATCACACCAGCCACAGCTTTCCGCTCAGCTAGCACCACGCCGAACGAAACCCGCGGCATGAAACCCATGGTTGTGGCGGATACCACTGCCTTGAGGTCAGCCCCAGGGTGGCGAATTCACCAAACAATGGGGATTTATCCAACAATATTGAGGTTTTGACCATCAAACATGGTGGTATGATAGGAATATCCAGGGTGATATTCCATGATATTCCATGTGTTAAATCATACCACCTGGTGGTTTAACACATGGGATATCACGGGATGTGCGGAAACGAAAAAACGACATCATCAGTGATTAACGGTTGTGCATGAAGGTTCCCCTCCAGTCAACATGTCAATAGCTTTCGATGATAACAATATAAAGTCATAGTTTTCCAAACCTGCCTCTATATGTTCCCTCAAAAAGCGTATTATATACTGTATATATATATACATAGGGTGATTATAATCATCAAAGAAATGACATTGCATCTATGCATGTTTTAAAACAACATCATACGACATCACAAAAACGTCACTGTAAAAACAAGTGCTTAGTAGGTGGTAATTATCCATGAAATCCAAGAATGGGTAAAACTTAGTGGATGTATAAGTATACGAAGGAGCGGGGCGTGAAAGATGCAGATTGACAATGATCATGGTAAACTTGGTAAAACAACACTTCATTCTGATGATTTCAGCACGGAAGAACCAACAGTGAGGGTAGAACAAGCAACCACTGCAACCACTTGGGTAACAATGGAACCCGCAAAGATGTTCAAAACGTTCAACCGCCAATCACCTTGTTATTCTGTGTGTTGCCCATGTGGTCACCCGGGGTGCGGATGGATTCTCCAGGAAAGGCCTCCCATGTGGGGGCGGGTCCAAAGCCATAATTTTCCATCTGTATGTTGGGACAGACATCCATGAATACCATTGAATACTATCTAAAATACCATCTATATATGCAGTAAGCCGGGCTTCAGGAAGCGGAACAACCACCTCTCGGTGAAGCATGGCGACAGCAGCTGGGCTGGTGATTTTACATTTTACATCATCCCATTGCTAGGGCTAGGGGTATAGCCCAATGATAAACATACATAACAATTGCTGGGTTTTATTATAATATAACAAAACCTAGCAGTTGTGTAATGTATATATATATATATAATAATAATATACATAATTATACCTAATAATATTGCTAGGGGATGCTAGGGGTATACCCAATAATAATAAACCACTATTGGGGATTGTTTATCATTGGGTTTAGCTCATTGTGAGCATCTTGTTGCTGGTTTTACATATGTGTCAAATTTTTGGATATCTCTGGTTGAAGTCAAACTGAGGAAACAGATGATTCATAATTGGTCATGATGCCATCGCTCAAAACTATGTTCCTGAAGATAAAAACGAAAAATGCCCGGCCATTTGTGGGCCCTGGGTCTTATAATATATATATATAATATATATATATATGTATATATATATATATAGAGAGAGAACCCTTTCTGCCATCAATGCCAAGAAAGTTTTGGCGATGATCAGGTGGGTTTCTTGGGACGGTGATCCAGCTAGAGTTTTTTCTAGGTTGCTGCAAATCGATGTACCATTTCCCTTCCATGTGTGGACCATGTCTAGACCATGCCCATAAAACATTTGTTTTAAAACCGGGTGCCCAAGAATCTCATTGCCCTCATTTCCCCACAGAAGTTTCCACTTCGGGGGTATCCTTTTTTTTTCCCGAATGCGTAGCAAGGGTTCCCGTTTCACTCTGGGGGTTTGGGGGCTGAGGGTGTGTTCACTCGACGTTGCGTTTGTGGTCGCAACCGTTCGCAACCGTTCGCAACCGTTCGCAACCGTTCGCAACCGTTCGCAACCGTTCGCGCGATCCCCGTATGGCCGTGCCTATGTGAAGTTCTGCAGAGGTGGTCATTTTTGGAGGTTTCAGACGTGTCGTTGCTTCATTTCGCGTGGCAGGCGTGGCACTTCGTGACATTCAGACGTGTTCTGCAACGTGTCGAAAGTCGTTTTGCGTGGCAGGCGCAATACTTTTGCGACGTTTTCAGAAGATGTGTTGCAGTTTTCGTGGCAGGCGCAGCACTTTGGGCGTGTCCATCGTCATTTTTCGTGGCAGGCGCAGCACTTTAGACGTGTCGCGTTGCGTGTTTTTTGTAAATCGCATTGGCAGGGCTGCGTCAAGTGGCGACAAGGTGCAAATTCCGTGGCAGGCGTGGCATTTTGTGCGATGTGCTGAAAATTGACGGAAGCCTCGCACGAAACATCGATTTTGAGGTTGCAAATTTTCAGGTTCTAAGGAAAACTCGTAGGAAAACGTCGATTTTGAAGCTGCAAAGTGTGAAAATCGGAGGAAGTCTCGCACGAAATGCTCGTTTTGGCGCTCCCACCTGTCTCTTCTCGCGTGTCTGGTTTTCCCGTGGCCTCGCCGTGTCTATGGGGGAAGCTGCAAAACTTCTCCTTTTGTCATGTTGCCAACTGTGAAAATTGGAGGAAGTCTCGTACGAAATGCTGGTTTTTCTGCATCCACGTGTCTTGTCTCGAGTCGCTGGTTTTCCTGTGGCGTCGCCGTGTCTATGGGGGAAGCTGGAAAACCTGTCCTTTTCGAATGTTTCCATGCAGGTTGTCATGTCGTTTTGCGTGGCAGACGTTGCATTTTGTGACATTCCAACCTATTTGATAACGTGTGGAAAATATCAAAATTGGAGGAAGTCTCGCATGAAATGCTGGTTTTTCTGCATCCACGTGTCTCGTCTCGAGTCTCTGGTTTTCTTGTGGCGTTGCCGAGTCTATGGGGGAAGCTGGAAAACCTGTCCTTTTCGAATGTTTCCAAGCAGGTTGTCCTGTCGTTTTGCGTGGCAGGCGTGGCACTTTGTGACATTCCAACCTGTTTGATAATGTGTTGAAAATGTCAAAATTGGAGGAAGTCTCGTACGAAATGCCGGTTTTTCTGCATCCACATGTCTTGTCTCGAGTCTCTGGTTTTCCTGTGGCGTCGCCGTGTCTATGGGGGAAGCTCCGCACTCCACACTCTACACTTTACACTCCGCACTCCACAATTTACACTTTACAGTCCACACTTTACACTTTGCACTTTACACTCCTCACTCCTCACCTGAGACTTTACACTCCACACTCTACACTCTACGCTCCACACTTTACATTTTGCACTCCACACTCCACACTCTACACACCACACTCTACACTTTCCACTCCACACCCCACACTCCACACTCTACACTTTACACTCCACACTTTATACTTTACACTCCTCACTCCACACTCTACACTCCACACTCCCCACTTTACACTCCACACACCACACTCCACACTTTACACTCCACACTCCGCACTCCACACTCCACACTTTACTGTACACTCCACACTCCACACTTTATACTTTACACTCCTCACCCCACACTCCACACTTCACACTCCTCACTTTACACTCCACACTCCACACTCTACACACCACACTCTACACTTTCCACTCCAGACTCCACACTCTACACTTTACGCTCCACACTCCACACTTTACACTCCACACTTTACACTCCTCACTCCACACTCCAAACTTTACACTCCACACTCCACACTTTACACTCCTCACTCCACACACTACACTTTACACTCCACACTCCTTACTTTACACTCCACACTCCACACTTCACACTCCACACTTTCCACTCCACACTCCACACTTTTCACTTTACACTCCACACTCCCTACTCTACACTCCTCACTCCACACTCCACACTTTACACTCCACACTTTACACTCCACACTCTACACTTTACACTCCACACTTTACACTCTACACTATACACTCTACACTCCACACTTTACACTTTACACTCCACGCTTTCCACTTTACACTCCTCACTCCACACTCTACACTCCACACTTTACACTCCACACTCTTCACTTTACACTCCACACTCTACACTCCACACTTTAAACTGCACACTCCACACTCTACACGCCACACTCTACACTTTCCACTCCACACTCCACACGCTACACTCTACACTCCACACTCTCCACTTTACACTCTAGACTCTGCACTTTACACTCTACACTTCACACTCTACAATTTACAAACTCCACACTTTACACTCCACACTTTACACTCCTCACTTTACACTCCACACTCCTCACTCCACACTTTACACTCCTCACTTTACACTCCACACTCCACACTTTGCACTTTACACTCCTCACTCCCTACTCTACACTCTACACTCCACACTCCACACTTTACACTCCACACTCTACACTTTCCACTCCACACTGCAGACTGGTAACAAGGGAAACATGCACAAGACTGTTCAAATAAACTATTGCAGAAAGGTATTGTGCGTGACTGCATAACCATGTGTTTTGACATCTGTACCATTAACATACGTGTGAGCATTCGGGTTCGTGGGCTTCATCTTGTTTCTTTTACTTTCAATGGCTTGATTCACCCTGCATTTTTGATGGTTAGAACAATCTTCATGATTGGTAAAACACCGGTTTGGGTGGTCAAGACTTTTAGCCCAAACTTTGATGTTTTAACATGTTTAAATCCTATGTTTGTGCTTGATGATTCAACATGCAACAATTGAATAACTGAATATTCATGATGTTTGTTTTTAAGGCCACATGTTGTTGCTTAACTTCAAACAAACCACATCTTGCCAGACTTCCATCAAGAAAAACTGAGTCTTGCTCAGGCCACGTGCAGATCAAGTCGCCCACTGCAGCGGACAGTGAGGATGTCCCGGAGGAGCCGCGAAAACGGCCCACCTTTCGACAGGCCACGGCCGAACTCGGATGGCCGAACGGATGAAAACTAGGATTTGATGGTGACTGAAGAAACAAATAATGGTGGTTTTTCATGGGGATATTATATAATTTAATGTAGATTGGACATATCATCAGATTATCATGGGATGGGGGTTACAAACAACTCAATGGGAGGATATTATGGGGATATTGACATTGATGTAATGAGATATAGCCAGCAGCCAACAATATGGTTTATGATATATACATGATAGCCTCTTGACGATTAGCAATTTGCAAACTGGGGAGCCACCCTTTTTTTAAAAAATCAAAGACGTAATTCATCCAAGTAAACGAAATTTTCATAGTTAAACCAGAGAGTATTTGAGTAAATGATCTGGGAGAGAATGGTGAAACGTGTTGTGAATGTTGACATGGTTTGTAACTTATTACTCAAAAACATGTGATTTAACCATCAAACATGGGAATTTCACCCACATGTATGCGGATTGATTTAACATGATTTAACCAACAAGCATGATGGTATCAAAGGGAATATTGTACTGGGATATACTCTGGGATTGGGGTACCCCCAAATGTTTTTTCTTTTTAGGTGGATTACTCTATTTAATCAAATTTATCTATGTTTCATCCAGATATATTGGTTCTAAGATGATATAAGCACCCATCATATCTGATGGGGTCGAATTCCGTTAAAGATTAGATCTTTGTATATACAAGCTTGGAAATGGGAACAGAATACCAAACATGGTGAACAAAATCACCATAGTTGGGATTTGATGGGATATGAACCGGGATATATAATCAACACTATCATTTTTGGGTGTGTTTGAAAATCGGGTCTACTCCCCAAAGGGAATTTTGATGGGGAAATGATGATTAAATAGTGGAGTAGGGGGTATCTTATTCTCAGACTCAGACAAACCGGACTTTTTATGATCCATCTTCACTTTTGACCCCCAGCTATATGGGCCTGCGTCAAACTCGCTTACCCGAAAAACAAACATGGCATATTATGGCATCAGCCATGCCCATAGGTCATCAACTGGGGGGCCAGCAGGATTTTTTTCATGTTTTGGGTCCTGTGACCCAGCCCAGAGGATCTTCCAGGTCCATGGAGACTGATGGAGACTGATGGAGACTGGCCATTTATGGCCATTTCTTTAAGGGGTGGTTTTTCAGCTGGCAACCAGGAAAATATGGAGATGGTGGTACCATGTGGTACCCATATGTATATAAACATACATATACATACATATAATATATTTATATATATATAATGATCAGATATGATCATCCATGACAAGAATGCATGCCAATTGATGGTCAAGAAGATTCTCTTAGGCAATGTTATCCCATTTTATGGTCAAGTTCAAGGAGTTTCCCATGGTTTGCTGCTCAAAACCCTACCATTGGACCACCTGCCTGGCAGATCGCGACTGCTGTGTGCGGCAATGTCAAGTTCCGAAGGAAAGGGAAAGCGCCCTGACTGGAGAATGGTAATTTGATCTGGGTCAACGATAACGACCTCACTGTTCTCCCTCACTGGAATCATGCTTAGGATTCGGTGAATTGATGGGATCTATATATAGTGGGATTTGACGGGAATTTTAAACATACAATCACGTGCTGATATGAGTGCTTGTGGATCCCTTGGCATTTGGCGATATCTTTAATATTCTATAATATATATATATAATATATATATACTGTATATATATATATACATATATGTATGTATACATATTGTATATACCGGTATTTGTCCTGGCCATGTGTAGCTAAACTTGTGTGTGCATGCTAAATTATGGTCTTTGTAGTATGTATGTATATATATATATATACACATTAATATGGATAAGCATGCGGGTCCAACAACAACTTTGAAACATACCACCATCCTATAATTTAGGGTATTCATACATAGGGGTGTATAGTTGTTTGTTTCCCCCGAAGGATTGCTGCCCTTTTGAACAACAAATATATACAGTATACATTGCGCATAAACATACACACACACACTCACACACTGTATGCACACATTATGTAATATGTATAAAGTATTGCTGAATCAGTTTCACTGGGCTTCATTATATTTCAATAAACTATACAACATCTGCAAACTTCATAGGGGCGTTTCAGGGAAAAAACACAACAGTGCAGCAAACAACAAACTACTCATTAGATGGCCATATGCAGTATGTTGGCTTCAAGGGTTTATTGATCACTATGCCTTCTTTTGCTAATGGTACTAGTCCATGAATGCTTCTCAGGGGCAAGAGGAGTTGGCGCCACCTGGTCCCTACGTGTTTTATAGTTTTGTCACAGTGGTTCGACCCTTGAGAGGCAAACGTCATATCACGCGATTGCAGAACATGGAAAACCTCATGGAGCAATAGACACCAACCAAGGATGTCTCTGAGCCAACTTCTTTGGATAAAAATCCAGGTTGACATCATCATACAGATACGGAAACCATGCAGAACCTCAACACTACCATCCTTTGTCATGTCTGGAAAACCTCAATGGAAATAGCTATACAAGTCCACGCTTGTTGGACAATCGTATCTTCAGATTCATGTTTAGTTTGGACCTTCATTATTGTTGCTCCTCCTCTACATCGACACATCGACACATCAACAAATCAACAAATCAACAATTCAACATCATCAACATCATAATCATCACCACCACCACCACCATCATCATCATCATCATCATCATCACCATCACCATCACCATCATCATAACCATCACCATCACTTCCATCACGATCATTCCCATCACTCCCATCACTCCCATCACTCCCATCACTCCCATCACTCCCATCACTCCCATCACTCCCATCACTCCCATCACTCCCATCACCATCACCATAATCAGCATAGTCATCTTCATCTCTAGATATAGCTTCACAACTGATCATTCCCAAATGATGATCATATCGTGACAAATCCCAGTGTGTGGCCATAGATTAAACGAGATAATTATGTGTTTAACAACATATATTGGTGGTTATATTATACGTAGACCCACATTATATCCATCATTTTCCATGATAATACAATTTTTGTTGGTCAAATCCAATGTTGTGTTCATGATTATATAAATCGGGAAATCCCCATCAAATCATAATCATGCTATTATAAAATCATAGCAAAGTCATGTTTCCCCATTATGGATCTTCATTTTTATTGGTGACACTCCCCATTGCAAAAGGTAAAGTGAAAACTCTCCAGGGCCTGGTTAGAGTTTCCATGGGTTTTTTTGGGGGATCACCGGGCCCAGGCCGGTCCCTTGGACCGTGCGCAGATGGAGCAGCTTGGTTCAGATTGATACATAGCATACACAATGTAATTACATGATATGTATATATATATATATTTCAATAGAATGATATATATATATATAGTGCATGTAATCTACATGTGTTTTCCATAAATTCTTCATGTCCAAGGCCCAGCAATGTCTCCTAGGCTCAGTTTCCATCGCACGGTTTCCAAGAGTTCCGTGTGCACCCTGGCGGGGCGCCTGCGGCGCAGCCTTCCCAAGTTCGGGGAGATCCAGTGTCTTCGGCGGTTGGGACGGTTGGGACGGTTGGGAGGGGGTCCCCATGTGGCCAGTGAAAAACCAGGATCTTGGCATCGAAATCCAGCAACACATGGGGACTTACCCTCTGGTAAACTAACATAGCTATGGTAAATGGCCATTCATAGTGGATTTTCCCATTAAAAATGGTGATTTTCCATAGCTATGTTAGTTTACCAGAGGGTACACAGAATCAAACGCAGTGATTCAACGACCAACATATGTTTTCGTTTCACCTGAAAAACAGTGGATGTTTACCATAAAGAAATTGTGAAAAACAACCAACTTATTGACCAACATGGGTGTGCAGTTAGGATATGTTGATGGTTAAACGGTTAAACCATCGTTATAACCACCATAAGTTAAGATATACTGTACCTCCGGTAGTTATGTTTATATAACCGACATAATGGACTGCAGGAGGTCCACGTCATGGCGGGTCTAACCATCAAGGACCCGCAACGAGAGTTGTTTCTGCGCATCAAAAAACAGGTTCCTTTAAACAGACCCGGGGATTAACCAAAATTGTGGTACAAGACCAAACATTTTATTGATTTTTATTGCAATAAACATAACAAATAAATAAATAAATATATATATATATAATAAATATGTATACATATATTTATTGAGATTTGGGATAGAATGGGATATGATATGAAACCAAGAATTAATTGGATATGAGTTAGGATAGTAACGATAGTAACATTGACGGGATTCATAGGCAGCTTGAGGATACCCCAAATTCGGCCCATTGATCAGGATCTATTCATAGGTATTCATCAATAGGCATTTTGCAACACAATCCGAAGTTGCATCAGAACTTGTTATCAACAATGGAAAGCGGTGTTGGCACATTGAGTGCCTCGGAGAAGCCACCGGAAGCAGAGGAGGGAATGGAGTGCTGTTTGGATAAGGTTGATAAGGGACTTGAAGCTGGACATCCGCAAAAGCTGGTCGATTATATACAATTATGTATATATATATAAGTTTGTGTATTTATTTTTGTTTACATAGTCTATACAGTATATAATATATATATAATTATTACATACATAATTCTACATATACTTATATATATATACATATTATTTTTTTTACATCCCTGAGGACCAACACGGAACCTTTGAAGCGGTTGGACATGACGCCCAGGTTCCAAAGCGGGCTCATGACGCGGTATTGCATCGTGGGTCCCCAGACAGAGCCACAGAAGCCTGGCGGTTTCACCATGGGGATACCATGGGAGATTGATATGCAAAAAAACGGACATGATATGGGGATATGACATACAATATGTATATGATATAAATAGATTTTTTCAATAATGTATATTATATCCCATATATATGTATATTATATGTGTAACATATATATTATATCCATGTCCATCGTTTTGTTTGTTTTTTTGCATCTACTCCCCTGAGGAAATTTGTGGACATGGTGATGCGAAGTCCTCTGGATGCTTGGACCGCAAGAATCGGGACCAGGGACCGGGATGGACCGGGTGGAGCCTAAGAAATGTAGCCAAATGCAATGGTTTGACACGTAGGGATTATATTCATATATATATAGTATAATTATATTATATATATCATTACATATCCATCATATATTATATAGTAATTAGATTTTCTAAATTATAGGTATAGATATAGTATGATGTAGTTCAATTCTTCAATGAGTCCATCACCTTGCCATTCATTCCTTTGGCGGTCCCTTGGATGACCATCCATCCTACATCGCAGGTGATTCACAACACTGCTTCTTACAATTTTTTGTAGATGGGCTATGATAGTTCATACTCATCACTACCAGCAACTAACTCTGACGGACGCAGGCGAGTGAGAGGCCCATTGTTGCTGCATAATTTGCCCTTTTGTTCGTAGATGAACCTCCTAAAACTCCCCAGCACCAGGAGATTGTCCAAGACACTCATCTGATAAACTATGTATGGTTCATGACTCTAGAAGCCCAAGTTCAGTTTGTCCAAAAATAGTGTGCCTTTTGGACAAATTCTACTGTAATCCTTATTTTCACCAATTATTTGATCATCATATTAGTGTGTTTGTAGTATTCCCAATTTTGGGCAGTTTATTTTGCTGTAAGTCGCTTAAGTCACTAGTTTCGTTTCTTTTTTATACCCATGTTTATATCCCCATATCTTATAAACCCTAGAATATGACTTTACATGATATGATCATAAACTATGAATATCAAAAATACTTGTAATAATCGTATCAATAATACAGTTGTTACATGATGTATGTACCATTGTCTCCATATACATATATATATATTTACATATACATATACACATACGCACACGCTTATACATATACATATGCATATATACATAAATATACATATACATACATCTACCTATATCTACATCTACATCTACAAATACAATAATATATGTATATATATACACGCATACACACATATACAATCATATACATATACATACATATACATACATATACAATCATATACACATAATTATAAGCAGACATTTACATATGTATATACACACATATACCATCTCTCCAACACACATAGACCCTGTCCAACAGGGGTTGAAAGACTACTGTCATTTAAACAAATGATTCTCAGTTTTCTCAGGGTCTATGCTAGTTGAGATGGTAAATGCGTCACTTGGAAAATCATCCTGTTGATTGGTGGATTTCCCAGGATTTTCCTATGCACCCCATTGAAACGACACGCGATGCCAGATCTGGGACCTGGAAGCTCCCCGTTTGCTGCTGAGCATCGTGGGTGGAGCTGGAGAGATGAACCTGGACCCTGCCGTGGCGCGGCGATGGATTCGGAACGCGGCCAGGGAAGGGCGGAATGGCCCCCTTTATGCGTATTCTATCGGGGGGATTAGGTTACGTTTGGTTAACATGTTTTATTCTAATTTGCCAGGAAATATGAGCTAATGATTAATCTAGGTTAATAAACCATAATAAACCCCTTAGGGATGTCAAGCGGGATTGTTGTTAATTCCATTAATTCCAGTTAATCGGCATGTTTGAATCTAATTGATTGGGGATCATGGGCTAAGACATAATAGGACAAATCCAACCAATGAGGGTAAGGCTAGAAAAAAACAAAACCCCATCCCCTAATATTGAGCACTGCGTAAATCTCCAGAACATATTTCTGTTGATGGGTGAATATATAGATGTTTATCCGACCTAATCATCTTTGTTTTAAATTGGTAATTTTAATTTACAATAGATTCTCATGGGATTTATCCATCAACTGTAGGAACTCTATATGATCTTATCGGGGTTAAAACACCAAACGTATAGGTATATGGTTTGACAGATATGTACTGGTTGATGGGTTAATATAGATGGTTCTACTACCTTTCGCAAGGGTACTATTACAACTCAGAATGGGAATATCTACCAACGATCCAGTGTAATGGGATGGGATAGGGGTATTTTTCATGGCTCATATGAGTTGCGTGCGTCTGAAAATAATGTTCTGACCAACAGTTAGCGGGATTTCACCTGGTTCACATGGCTCCACATGGCTTCACATCAGCCAAAGGATCCCATATTTTGTGAATCTAAGAATTGGATCATGCTGACACCCCTGTGTTCATGTTGACTCCCCATATCCCAAATGTTGCTGCAGCGATTTTCCCGTTGATTCCATGCCAGCAAGGCCAGCAATGCCATCCGGGGATTCCAACCGCACTGAGGTGGAAGCCCACTTCTGTGAAGGCCTAGTGGGCGCCGCCAAGCAGACGCAGGGCTGGGTCATCACAGGCGTCGGTTTTTCGCGATCGAATGCGAGGATCTCGGGGGTTGATAAGAAGAATGGGGGTCAGAACCAAACAATTTATGGCGATATGATGGCGATTTAGTGGGAACAGACTGTATTTAGATAATTTTAGATATACAACTAAAATATGCTGGTACCATGAATGAAGATGTGATATTCTATGATATCATGCCTAAAAATCAAGCCTGGTTTTGCGGGTCTAAGAGGCTGGCCATGGTGATGGTGGTTCGTGTTTGAACTTGAACTGCTGAGAGTATCAAATACGGGATTCTCACGGGATTTATCCATCAACTGTAGGAACTCTATATGATTTTTTAGTTTTTATTGTGGGGGTTAAAACACCAAACATATGGTATAGCTGCCACATGGGACGTTCCAGAGCAAGCTACAATTAAGCCACAGGAAGTGGATGGGATGTGATCGATATATGAGAGGGGATGAGGTATCTCCCGAGTATCCTGCATATCATCGGAGGAATGACCCCAATATTGTCTCATGAGACTCCTTGGTGGTTCATTTGTACTTGTATATTTTGTTTCCATATTGTTTGGTTTATTCGAATCTCATCTCATAAAAAAGGGATATATGATTATCCCATCATTACCATATAGTAATAATGAATCTCATATCCCATATATAATAAATTATCCCATTATTACTATATGGCGATATGTGGGATTATCCCATTATCCCATTATCCCATATCCCATATAATAAATTATAGTAATATATCATGAGATATACCATTCAATAAACCCATCGAAAAAATTGACGCCCCTCAGGTGGCACCAATAGCGGTGTCATGGACTTGGTGGGTCGCGCCATGCATCGTACCTGGGACCTGGGACCTGGGATGACCTGGGACCTGGGAAGAGACACGTCACCGTTTTGTGGCTGAAAAACCTGATTTTCTAAGGCATCTCTATAGAAATTCTATGGTTTTCTATAGGGTTATGATATTTTTATGACAATTTAAATTATTATGATTGGAACATAATATATATATATATATCATTACATATATATATAGATAGATAGATATATGCTACCCCTCCCAAGACCCAGCTTTTCAGATGAAAAAAACACAAAGACAACATATACATATATATATATATATACATAATTTCTTCAAAAAAAAGTAGAAACAGTAAACAAAAGTAAAGAACAAAGTAAACAAGTACTGCCCTTTAAAGAAGCAGTATCCCTACAAAAAAATAGAGCATTCCTCTAAACGTGCAGTGTTCCTTTCTGTAGAAGCGCAGTCTTCCTTTCAGAGAATCACTTTGCAATGGTCGTTGCACATTGCAGCATTCCTTGAAAAAGAAAGACTGTTGTTAAAGGAAAGTGCTGCTTACAGGTTACAATCTGCCTCAAAGACAAGATATTCCCTTTAATAAGAAACACTATATATTCTTGCAAGAAAGCTGATAAGATCTGATAATATATATATATATAAGTATATATATATACATAAGTGTGGAAAGATGAACATCCTGTAATGGAGCTCAGCCTTACTCTTATCTTTCTTGTATGACCATTGTTTAAGGAAAGACTCAACTTCTTCGAAATACATCGAAATACAGTAATTGCCCTGAAGACAAGGTATTCCCCTTAAATAAGTAGCATTATTCTTGCAGAAAAAATAACATATGTGGACAGATGCAATTGGCAGCGAAGGAATTGGAGGCAAATTCACGAGCTTGACCGTGCACTGATCCTGGTTTTTTTCACTTCCCGGTTGCTGGTTTCAGATGATCATTCCCAAACGGAGAGAAAAACACATCGCCATCAAAACAAGTAGATATATATATATATATATACACACTTTGGATCACATATACATACACATTATGTACATATGCAGTCATACAGGTCAGACATATATACAAATTGTATACTGTGTAGCTAGTAAACACAATTTATAGTTTTTTTACCGTCAAAAACGAGGCGTTGAAGCATCAACCATCTGGTCAACTTGTGCACACCGTCCAATAGTTGGAATTTTAGTAGCCACACATGGCAATATAATATGCTAAAATATGTTAAAAATATACTTATGACCACCAACATCTTCATGCAAATGTCATATTTGTCCTGATTGGTGGTTTGGAACATTTTATATTTTTCCAAATATTGGGAATTTCATGATCCCATTTGATTTTCATATTTTTCAGAGGGGTGGCTCAACCACCAACCAGTGTCAAAATAACTGGGTTACCCTCTGGTAAACTAACATAGCTATGGGAAATCACCATTTTAAATGGGTAAATCCACTATTTCTATGGCCATTTTCAATAGCTATTTTGACATAACCAGAGGGTATATCCCATTAATTAATCATCATTAATCACCAATAAATCACAATTAGCCATGATTACCACCAACCAGTGTCATAATAACTGGGTGATTTTGCCATCCAAAAACCCTGGCCCTGGCCTTTGCGATAAAAAGGCCATGACGCGCGGCGCACGGTGCCCTGTATTGGCGTGACGCCCTTTGGTGCGCTGAAAGACGCCTGGAGATCCACCCTGGATGTTGCGGAGGTTCTCGGAAAATCCATGGAAAACCTGGGGAGTGAACCACGAAACCATGGTGATTGAGCCATGGACACATGGGGAGAGCATGGAGAAATGGGGAATCCACCAATATCTGGGGATGGGGGATGGATCAACAATTCGATTGCGATATATTATGATATATTGCGATATCAATGTGGATATAGAATGATAGAATTGGGATGAATTGGGTATATGGCCAACGATGTGGTATGGTGCGTCTGAAAATTGGAGATATACCACACAATTTATGGCGATTGAATAGTAAGGATGATCAAGCAGTGGATGAATTGGGTTACTTTTTTTTGAGACAGGAATATTATTGTGATGGGATATCAATGAACATCCACTGGAATACTAATACAGTGATGAAAGATAATTTTCATAGAAGCACGCCAATGGGCCTTTATGGGGAGAGAACTACACCACATGAAGACAAGATCACAACAAACCGGCGTTGGTGGGGGAAGAAAAATGTGGGAGCAAGGGGTAATTCGTTATTTTTTCAAGTAAGAATGAGGAGCTTATATTAAGAAATATGTTGGGAAACAATATCACATAATTGTTGCGGTTCAAAATAGGATGTTGAAGTCATTACTCAGCTAATATGACTTCAGGTGGTTGAGATGTTCATTTCTGCTGGTTCCCATCCTCAATATCAGATAGTTGAATCAGAAGTAAGTATCCCCACTATTGGTTCATACCATCCCCACTATTGGTTCCTATTTATATATATAATTATATTTAATATAATATAATATATATATATATGTATAATTCTGGCAATAGGAAACATGTAAGGGACGGACATCGGTTTTCACGAATTGTACAAACATAAGGTAAGCGATGGGACCTTCCCGAATAGCGATACGGCGATGCACCCCAAGTTTGCGCTCTGGAGTCAAGTAGATCATGAACACTTTCCTTTTACGAGATATTATTTAAATTTAGCATACAGCATTCTTGTTTACATGTGTGGTAAGCGATGGGACCTTCCCAAATTTGTTGTTTCTGAGATTGCTCAGATGTCCCCAGTTTTTGTTGACCCATGTTCCCCAATTTTTGCTGTTAGATAATCGTGGAAACTAAGGATGCTTGGATACCCCCAATGGTACCCTCCCCAACATTTGATTGATGGATAAGCTGGGTATAGGGGTTGATGAGGCCTTACCATCAATTATCCCACAATAGTTACCCATTGGTATGGTATTATTGACGGTACTATGATGGTGTGATTAACCCTCACATATTACCCACTTTTACCCGGCTCTTACCCCATAATTGGGCCTTATTTCTTCGCCATTCATGTCCACAGGCCTCCGCAGATGCTGGAGTGGTCGAAGCGCCGTCTGCATCTTCGATGGTGGCTCAGCGAGATTGTTAGTGGGTTCTAGCCGACAAATGAAATCAAATGAATGGGTTTTGACTCACACTTGGAACTTGTAACCCACGATTCCACGATAATATGGATTCGACCGTCAAGAATTGGCTCCAACCTGCAAAAGTACACATTTTTATGGTTGAAGCGAGAAACTTGATAGTTTTCACTGGAATGACAGGCCCCTACCCGAAATTCTGCTGGGTTAGAAGGACTCATGTACCTTGGGAAGATTCTTTGAGGTATGACCACCAGAGTTTGTTGAGATTATAGAGCGAGGTAGGTTCGCGCCAGATGAAGAGGAGATGCTATGACCCTCCAGAATGTATTGATATACTGTTTGGTGGTTTCAATTAGTTACTGGGGATGACAATCCCCAATGACTATTCAGGGGAGTGCAACCACCAATCAACCAGTATAGGACTGAAATGGATTTTCTCCATATGTATATATATATATATGTACATATATATATATATATTATTAAATATTATATATATACATAGTAACACATGGTTGTGAGATTTTGAGATGCTGTGAGTCACAATTTGCTACCTCGGAAATTTGGTTACGATATGATGAGCAATAAAATTTGGGGCCATTTAGCGAAGACGCAAAAAAGAACAGATATATATATATATATATATGTAGGGAGAACTGACAAAGATATGTCGTGTCGATGTGTGTCTATACTAGTTATTGGCTTTCAATGATACCTGCAACCCTGTGTCTACCATGCCCTTTTTCTAGGTTCATTGATTTGTGTGATCTCATGAATGAGCTTGCCCAATGGACAATTTATCGGGTTACTCTTACAGCAAATCAATTCAGCAACCATTGGCACTATAGTCACTCTAGTCATAATTGAAGAATTTCCCCATGGTGACTTCAATTCCCCGGATAAAGGGCTCCAGGATTGGTGGCTAACCAGTGGCTAAATCATCCAGTGCCGCAGATTTTTGGCCGTCACCAAGTGGAAGTTTACTACAGGATTTATCACATTGTTGTATATGTGCCATAGTTAACACATGTTAATACATCGATAAGTTTACCATGAAAGGGGAGGGTCATCAATCCATGAATGGTAATTGATATAACCGGTATAACAATTATAAAGCTTTCCGGCTTTCCATGGGATGTGATGACCATTACACATACACCATCTTTGGACCATGGCACATCCTATGAATAGATGATCATGTAATCACCATAGCAAGCTCCAGAAGATGCAAAACATATGTCCTGCTTTAAAAGATATTGAAAAATTACGTCTTTGTCTTTTTTGGGTGTTAGTACATATATGTCAAGTATCGTTGCAGTAAATCCCCCAACCAACTCTGCTAGCTAAGGATGGTGATCAGTGACTTGTTGGGATGGTGGAAGCGTGGGCAGATTGGGGAAAAGTCGTCTCCCTTGTCAACTCAAACATGGAATCTACATTGGATTGTTTGAAAATAGGCTACAGTACACCCAAATACGCCGCTAAAGTATCATTTTCCCCATTCAATCGCCATGTCACCCAGGTAGAGGCTTTTCTCAGAGGGGAATTATTTTCCAAATCGATATGTTTGGAGTAACATTTGAGTTGTTTTGAGGGTTCGAGACCCTGAAGACAAGGTTTTGGCGTGAATTAGGGGGTAAATTAAATGACAAGCAGATAGATGGACCACATTCTGATGATGGGCGGAAAGGTAGGTGTTGTTCGGAAAAAAAATGACCATTGACATTGACATTGACCTTTGGTATTTAATATTATATGAACCGAGGACATGCTGGCTAGATTTGGTCAGTGAATATATAGCTTTCTACAGTTGCAAATGTTTGACACCATTCCTCGTTTGACGTGTTCATCCATTACAAAATTCCAACACATCAGGGATGTACATTAACAATAGAAGTTGGACAACTATCAAATCACTGTTTTGGATAGGTCAAGGTCTGACAGTCCAGCTTTAGGTGTCAACTCTTGAATTTATAGTATATACTATATGTATACATTTTGTATTATATAATATTATATTATATTACATTACATTATATTATATTATATTATATATACTATATTATATTGTATTGTATTATATTGTATTATATTATATTGTATTATATTTACTATATTGTATTATTCATGAGATATATATATATATTATACCCAAGAATCCCGGCAGATGCCATCCATCCACTTCCCCTCTGAACTGAGTTTGCCTGGCCTGCAGGACTGGTCCGCAGGGAACTGTGGATGTCTGTGGTAGATATATCTATAGGGCTTTGTGGTATATAGTACTATCATCAATAATGGTACTATAATGATATATAAGATTGGGAATATATCATGAATCTATCATTATAATACTGGCACTGTACGCTCTTGTAAATTAAATAGCAGCTGGACCCTTAACATGTTAGCAATTTTTAGTGGAAACACATATCTTCCAAACCCGAAAAATGCCAGGGCTGAACTGTCAATTTACTGGAGGGTAATATCCCATTACTGTACAAGATCCCACTATAATGATTATCCATTTAAGTCATATTAAATCCCTATTCAGGCGCTATTCCTTATTAAGTTCCCGTTCATGATGGTTAAAACCCATAAACTAAAATAGACATGGAACATGCACCATTTGTAGATCATTTTCCTACTCCTACAAACCATTGGTGCTCTACATCTTCTGTATGTTTACCAAAGGGTCCATTTGTCAAGATTATATCCCAATGATAGTTTTGTTTTATATCAATTCATCATTTCTGATGGTTTTACCCTAAGAATTACGACCCCAGGGTACCCTACTGTATACGAACGGAACATGCCCTCGAAATGAAAGTTGTCATGCGAAAATCAGCTGTAAATGGATGGATTTCTGTGGATCGCTTACTGCCACATTTGATCGAGAGCCTAATCGCTTGGGTAATCAGTTTCTTTCGGATGTTTCAGTCACAAAAAATATATGGCAATGGAAAATCCTAAAAAAATGCAGGTGTCACTGGGAAAATCATCTCTAAATTAATAATTTTCCAGCTAGCCATTCAGTTGGGCTATGATTCCAGTCATATTCCAGTTCTGGTTTCATCCACCATCCATGCCAGGAGCACCACACGCATGTGGTGCTGGTGGATGCCGGCAGCCGCCGGGAGGAGGCCTTTGGCACCGAGGTTGACATGCGGGAAGCGCTTGAAAGATATGCCACTGGGCCGCTGTCGAATGAGCGAAGCGGGAACAGTTTTGGTATTTGGTCATATTATATATATATAATCATATAAGTGTATACCTATATATATATAATATACATATATGATTATATATATATATATATGGTATACGCAGTGTTTCAAGACAGGAATCATGAATAAGATGTATTGTGATACCATGGAAAACTCAAAGAAGTTCTGTTGTAGTATTGAACGTTGAAGGCTGCTAAGGCACCAAGGTGACATACCTCCGAATCACATCGTGGATTCACCCTCAAATCAGCAAGCAACATGATTTCCTTCCCAAGCGACCCTGGATGGACATTTTAGAGTGCTTGGTAGGGATTTTATTATTCACCTTCATGAGCAAACACCACTGAAATCCACAATGCATACTTACATACGGTAATTAAATATATATATATACATACAGCATCCTGCACAAAGGTTTATCAGTTTTTTTTTCATAGGGGAAAAGGGATGGGTCTCAACTGAGGTCTCAACTGCAGTGATGAGGGGAAAGCGAACTCGCAGCTTCTGTCCCGTGGTGATTTCGCATGTTTGTTTGCGCCCCGTGGAAAACCAACGGGGTGTGCCAGGTAAACCTTCTCAGTAATGAGGTGAAGCCAGATATCATAGGATAATCTATGGGATATGAATCCTATATTAGTGGCATAGTTGATGGATAATTCTGGGATAACGATAATGAATCATTCCCAATTTGGGTTTATTATGGGGTATACATGGGTATACCTCTAGCATGGGATGATTTAAAGGGACCCCAGTCATGGATGGTTACTGGGATGGTTGCTTTAGAGGAACCTCACATGACCTCATATGATGGTTCAAATTGGGAAATTGGGGAATTGCATGTACGGAATTTACTGGAAACGATCGAAAGATCATGGTCGGCTCTTGAAAGTGAAACAAACAAACTGGCTGTGGTGGCGCGAATTTGCGTGTTGCCCTTTTGGTTTTGGGAGCTTTTCTGGGTGGGCTTTTTGCAAAAGCCAGGTCTCTAGGTCTTTGAATTGAGGAGTAGGTTTGGCTTTAGAAAACACTACAGGTAGCAGCACATAGCAGCAGTGAAATTTTCTACCCAGCATATAGTCTTCATTAGTGGGAGCAGGGTGGACTGGTAGACCTTGAATTGACTGGGTTCTCAAAATTGTGAGCAAAAAGGACAGCTACTGGAGAGGACAGAAAAACTGCTCCGCCCAACTGGCAAGAGAAGGCAATCACTCCCCACAGGCTGAAAAGAAGGGGCCCTGTACTCCATACAAAGGCAAGCCGTCGATAAAACAACAGCTGAGAAGGATCGTGAGTCAGGAAGAACTAGTTCAATATCCTTCAAGCCAGATGGTGGGCAATTTTATTCAATGACTGGTGATGTATTGTCTTTAGTTGTCTCAAGTATGCAGTTTTGATGTAAATAAAGGCAAGCGATATTGTGCCATATGAGTATGCAATAGTCATATACCCACCACTGTGGACTAGACGTCCTTTTTCCTGTTGGTCATATATTCGTCATACTTGACTTCCATACCCTGTGTACACTGTTCGACAATTTGGGATGCCTCAAAAGCATGGGTTTCAATATGTTTCAATACTGAAATTGTGTATAATTGTAGATGATTTGGATGCCCCTATTTTAGGAAACCTCCCAATCGCACCTTCCAATGCTTGTGACTGGCACCTGAGGCTTAGAATCCAACGAGACGCCTAAGAATAGCCCGTTTAACCAGCGCGAACGTGTGCTGCGCGTGGCCCGGTGTTGAGATTTGTTCGATGAATTCACGCGGCCAAAGGGAATTTTAACCGGCACAGCCATGAGAAAACGACGATTCATTCACCATGATATGATGATATGAACATGATAGCTATACTATGCTATAATAAATATTGCCATATACTCCACATAGGTAAGTAACCGAAGAAGTGGTTGATGGTTAAGGGACATGCACATTCCATTTAGACTGGAGCTTGTCACTCGGCATGGTGCACTAGGATCACATAGCCTTGGCCTGAGATGTTTCGAGGCCCTTGTTTCGGCAGGTCATGAGTATTTTGCAAGTGGAATCTGGTAATTCAAGATGGCTTGCTGGACAATTCCCCATTTAGTTCGATGATGTTTCTGTTTCATGCTGTTTCTATAGCGCCCATATGTATAATACATTATATATACTGTATATACATGGATGATCATCATAAAAAAATATCGTATGATATTTGTATTTTGTATATAAATATGTATACACAGATTTACATACTTCTTAGAGATATGGGTGTTCCTGAAAATGAGGGATCACCAAAACCATGGGTTTCAATACTACAGTGGTCATCCATGACTTGGATGATTTGGGGGTACCCCCATGACTTAGGACACCTTGTAATATCTTTAATAAACGGTTCATCAATCACATCCCAATCATATTCCCATGAGATATATTACCATATCTCCATTATCAATATTTACTAAACTATACCAAACCCTAATAGGGCCTTTCCTAAAATAGTGGTACCCCCCAAATCATTCACTTTTCGGGTTTTCAATGAAATCAACCATCCATAAACCATCCAGCTATTGGGGTAGCCCCATGACTCAGGAACCCGTCCTACCAAGGTTATGGTGGTGGTGAACGGTGGTCCTGTATCCTTCACCCTGATGGACAAGGCCATTCAGAACGGCTGCCCCGTGGTGGTCTGTCGCTGGGCCAAGGGGCGACGCGGTTTGGGACTGACGGGGACATCACCATGAAATGTGCATCTGTTGGATGAAATATGGTTATTTTATGGTGTTAAGATGATGGTATCAAATGCTATAACATGGTATACTGCTATGAAAGGTTGGTATGAAGTATGAAATCAAGGTTTAGATGGAATGAGAGGTACTCGTAATATCTCGTAATTTCGCGAAATCCGAAAAAAAAAAGCAATCCGGCATCTATGATATATAGATATATATATATAAATTATATAATATAATATATACATGTGTGTACGGAAAATTATTGACATGAAACGACGCCAAGATTTGGGTGTTTCTTGAAGTTCAAGACTTGGAGTCCACCGGAGTCCAGCTGCCCTAGGAACCTGTTGGCGATTTCTCTTGGGAATTCAATCGGTTACCCAAACATGGACTGCTGGAAACTCAGCCATTTAGTTCGATGTGTTTCATGGTTGTTTTTTCCCATTTAAATCGTTAAAACCTCCATGTACTGTGGATATGTTGCACATTAAAACGAACATGTCGTTTGGGAATTCCCAGCCATGCAGCTGTCACCGGGACCTCCAGATTCACAAACTTGACACGATCCTATCAGTCAGATGAAATCACGTAACACATAATAAATTGTTGTTAGCCATTCAGGTCCATTCAGTCAATACCCATTAAATCAATATGTGTTTCGAATCTACGCTCTGGTAATTTAACATAGCTATTGAAAATGGCCATAGAAATAGTTGATTTACCTATTGAAGATGGTGATTTTCCATAGTTATGTGAGTTTACCAGAGGGTAATCCTGGTTTGAACATAAAACCTCAACGGCCGAGGTAACAACAGCGGCCGCGCGGCAGACTTCATCGCCTCGCTAAAGCTGGGAGTTTTGACCGACTACGAGGCCAGTTGTTTTGGCGCTAGTTCGTGGGTTTCTTTGAACATATAGGGTATTAGTATCCCCACAAATTCATGCTTTAGTGTCAATAAATGGTACTGGATATGGTGCAAGTGTGTATATATATATATATGTATAGCTGGTATATATATATATATATATACATGGTGTATATAAATAATATTTCCACATATATGGTTTATCATTTTTCCAATTTAAATTGCATGTTTGTTTCGCTCTGCCCCAGCACTTCATGGCCACAGCCATTCACTTGGTTCCTCTTTGTAGATTTTGAGCACCAAATAAATATACCTAGCTGAATTCTACCAACTGGTTATAGATAATATATGTACTATATATATATATACACATGTTCACTTTGTGAAATGTTATACATGTGAATAATGAATTATCTATCATCAACTATAAGGGCAAACTACATAGATATAATTTGTATATAGCTGAAATATCAACGCCTCAAATGACATGACCATAAGATGATGGTTAGTAATTAGGGGAGATCATCCCAAAATGATCTTATATATTTCAGTTTTTTTTCAGGATGGTGAAATATCACAGTTCAGCCAGATATATACTAAGTAGTTTTGATGTTTGTCGGCTAAGAGAAAAAAACTAGATAAGAGTACGACCTGGGTGGAAAGTAAAGCATATTGCTGCAGTTTTCCTGGCCCAAGAATTGGAGATGTTAATTGAACCTATCTGGCAGAAGCACGTTCAGTTGCTGCCAGGAAGCCTGGAAAAAGCACATGACAGCTCCTCCGGATGTGGCTTAGCTGCATCCATCCAGCTGCAGAAAGCACACGGGCCATGGTTCAAACATGTTCAAACACTAGGGCCACTAGGGATCCAGGATACCTCAAGATCAGATTTGCTTATGATGGTCATGACAACAGTCAAATGGGCCAGTTTTAGGTATAGCTGTAACATGCTGTAACCTGTAATCCAATGTGTATATATATATATATATATGTATATGTACACATATTTGTATATATGTACGTGTATGTAGGTATACGCATGCGTAATCACCTCCATTCTCGAACCGTTTTTTTTCCCCCATCACCTGCAGCCGGTGATCCCCATGAAGTTTGGAAAACATGCAGCTGGCTGGGTCAAAGACATTGATACATTGAGATAGTTTTGATATGTTTTGATGATACACTGATAATCTTGGTCACATGTATACATTGATCAGTGGATGATTCACGTGCTTGTGCACGGTGTTCTGCTTACATGTGGTTCATTTTTTTTGGTCAATCTCCCCATATTTGTTGATTGTCGATTCCTAGACCCTCCATGAATGCCCATTTTAGGTTGGTGAATCCCCCAAGTTTGATCAATTTTGCGGGTGAAATTCACCAAATCAAGTTTTGTCGATTTAGTGTACACATATGTATATATATATATATGCAGATTTATGTTGCTTTCACCAAATTCATCATGTTTTTCCTTGGTGAATGAATTGAATGAATCCCCATTTTGTTCCAAATGATCCTCTCACATCGTCCCATCAAAAGTTTGGAGCCCAGGTCAAGTCCGGCTTGAAGGGCGTGAGATGTGGCGCCTCGGCAAGAGCCCTTAGCTCCGAGACTAAAATTCCTACTTTTTTATATACATATGGGTTTGTTTGAAAATAGAATATACCACATTATACCCAATATATGAATGTATGAATTGAATAGTGTGATCTTTATGGGAAAATGATCGTTAACCATCAAAGTTTGGGGTACCTTACTTTCAAACAAACTCATGTATATATATATATATACACAATTATATACATACATATACATACATAATATACAGCTTTGACATGGTTTGTTGTTATTTTCGCCATTGCAGTTGCTTGGGATATGCCCCCTGGCTGGACCTTGTCATGGCTGGGCCCCGTAGATGGATCGGAACAAGGCCTTGGATCCAGTTTTGGATTTACAAAAAGCTATTGAACATGGCCATAGAAATAGTGGATTTACCCATTAAAAATGGTGGTTTCCCATAGTTATGTTAGTTTACCAGAGGGTAACCCTTCCTATTGGAAATTGGATATCATGGGGATATAATGCGTACATCTTGGAGCAAACTTGTGATATATTAATGGACTATTGATGGGTCCCCCTGTGGGAAATTCAACATGGCCAACATCACTATTTTCAGTTGGTATATAAATCATCGAACTATATAAATGCGCCATGGTTTCCATAATTATGTTGATTACCAGAGGGTATCTAGATCCTTATCTAGATCCTTGTGAACCAACTATATTGTAGGGTCAAACGATAACCTTAGATGAATATGTATATAAATAAGCTAGTGTTGCTTTTAATATTAATACTGTTGAGGATCATTAGATGAGCTAGTGAGGATTAATCAATGGTGATGATTTTACCATGGGAATCGCTGCCGGTTGATGCATCCCATTTGTTGATCGGATGACCAACGATTCCCATTGCTTTGGGACTTTACTGTACTCTAGGTTACAACATGCTAAAACAGCTTGGTTTACTTCAGAACAATAAACATTGCGGAGAATTGCCTCTTTGCTGCGTACTCATCACTTGCAATCAACGTCAAGAACCGCATGGCAAATGCACTGGGTAAAACTTGGTCGGTTGAGAGATCGATCTTTCAGCCATAGACGGAAATACAATGTCAGCATATGTCAGCTCAAGAGTAACTTTAGATGAAATTGTTCAATTAATGAGAGTCTATCTTATCCTTCAATCTGGCTCATCCTTACTCAATACATCTCAATACACATAGTCTTGTCAAACGAGTAGCCATAAAATTGATATCACGTCTCATCTGAGGGGTGGAAGCGCTTGAACGCATCGTGAAGAGTTCGTGCGTCAGCGTGTACACCACCAACGACAGGCTGGAGCTGCGATGTCATCGGTTCAAGGTGGGCTATGGCCAGCGACAACCGACCAACCAACGATATGTTTTTACTGGGTTGGTCTGAATATGTTAGGGAAACTCTTGCACTCAGGGGTTAAAACCCGCATTTTCCACATCATTCCACTTTTTTTGGGGGCAAGGTCTTTTTTAGACCTACAAATATAAAACTTGGTATTTGACGAACAACATCCAAAACAAACGGGTACTAGTACTATGACTGTGTGAATCTGAAACATTTGAATACATGTTAAACATCGTCATGGCCGACCAAGCCCCATACATGATGATACTTCATAAACGATAGTTCATACATGATACACCATGATACATCATATGTCGTGATTTGGATTTTGTTCTTTTTGATTTCTTGGAATTGTGCAGAGATCAATTGAGTAATGCAGAAATAGTGGTTGCCCTTTTTGGATGTACCGAGCAAACTGTGTGAGAACTCGGGATCATGTGAGCTTTGCCCGTCTCATGGCGGTTGGAGACGAGCTATTGTCAGTTGCATTTAAGGCCGGATAATTGTTAAAACTAATATAATTAATTAATAGTGAGAATGGTAACTATATCATTTATATGTGTACATATATAATATAAATATATATATATATTATATATATATTGTATCTAGTCATAGATGAAATAATAACAATAATGATGTTATAGCTGTATACGTGGGCTTTTCGTTTAGCCCCAACCATAAGCTTTTACTTGGGTGTGGATTCTAAGCTTCCTTCAGACTCCAAAGATGATAACGGAGTTGCTCCCGATTGCCACAAGAATCACCAGAATACAGGTCAGATTTGGACTCAAAATAGCGACCAGAAGCCCTTGAACCACATTGAAGACTTTCCAGCCTTATTTTTTGAGTGAACAAATTTGAACAAATGCTTAGTTTTAGATAATACATGTTGCATATGTTTCCCCATGTTCACCGTCAAAAAAACAGGGCTGTTTCCTGCTGAATCTGCTGATTTCAACAGGTTGGAGGACACAATTTTGGCTGCGCTGCGGGGACAAGCTGTGCAGGATCAAGAGATGGATGAGGAGGCCACTGGGAGTCGGGAAAATCTGCTTGGAAAAACAGAAAAGTGGCCACTGACAATACAGTGGGGTGGCATGTACATTATACTGTAATATATCTATACACATGCACCTGAAGATATAGCTATTGTGTATTCGTGATCTGTATACTGTATATTTTTTTTTACTAAGTTTACTACATGTACACTTCCATATGTACATATATATATATATTATACAGATACACAAACATAGTGATCATTCTTGATCCACCATATTTCAGTTTTCAGTGTAATATAATCTAGAGGTTTGGACATGTTTCGCCAAAACAAAAGGAGTACATTAGCAAGTTTATATACTTTAGATCGCAATATCTCCTAAAAGCGTTTGCCACCGCTGCTGGTGAGGCTTTCACGCATCATGAGTTTCATAGAGACTCACTTGTTATCGATTTGGGAGTGTTGCCTCTCCATGCTTACCAGGTATGTCGGCCCATTTACATTTTCAGTATGTGGAAAAGTAGTTGGATAAACTACAATGATAATGTAAATATTACATCTCCGGAGTACTGCTTATTATACCCTCTGGTAATTTAACATAGCTATTGAAAATTGCCCATTTATAGTAAAATGTTCCCATGAAAAATCGTGAGTTTCCATGGCTATGTTAAATAACCAGATGGTAGTATATATTTGGATAGATTACTCCCCTACCTCACCGTGACGTCACTGGAATGATGCCAATCGGGTCGTGAACTAAGATAACTTATCCATGATCTATGTGTACAACTCCCAAAAAATTAGACCCGTGATTTAAGACTGTTTTAGTGGGATTTTAGTACCCCAGTGATAGATCACTGTTTTAGTGGGATATAACACCCCATACTAGCATATTATACATATCTGGTTGGTGGTTTCAAACATGTTTTATTTTCAATAATATATGGATAATCCTTCCCATTGACTAATATTGTTCAAGATGGTTAAAACCACCAACCAGATACCCTCTGGTAATTTAACATAACTATGGAAAATCACCATTTTTTTATAGGAAAACTTACTATAAATGGCCATTTTCAATAGCTATGTTAGTTTACCAGAGGGTAGATATGTATATGTATATATATATATGTACACACATGAACTTACAGGATTGAGCCATCACACATTCCCCTGTTGATGGGTTAACACAGGAGGTGCTTGCACTACCCGGTTTGTTGGTCAAAAGTTGGATCGGGGATGGTCATCCATCCATTTTCATAGGGATATACCATGATATACCCATTATGTTTGGATTCCAATTCCATCGAAGACCACCCCACCATGTTTTGACCTAGCGCGTATGTGTTCCATCTAAGGCTATTAATAATATATATATATATATTATATAGTCCCATCTAGTTTGTTAGCATCATTTTCCTCATCATTTTCCTCAGAAAAAGCATGGGTTAACTCCATCTTCAGACCCGGCAATCAGTATATCCCCACAAATCCCCATGAAAATCCCTATTAATCACCATTAATCCCCATTAATCCCCATTAATCATCATTAATCCCAATAAAAATCACCATTAATCCCTATCAATCCCCATGAAAAATGAACAAAAAAGGTCCATCTCCAAGCGCCAGGAGTTGCACGCCTCCTTAGAGAGGCTCTTGGAATTGGCCGTGCAGTGGAACTGCGAGAAACACTACGTGGCTGGATGAATTTGATCAGATGGCAAGGATGGCAAGCACAAAAAAAGTGTCCGTTATAATCATTATGGAAGACCTAGGGGACCACAGATGTTAGTCTAGTTTAGTATTCACCATCCAATTAATGGGGTACCTGATTTTGACCCATACCCATATGGTCATGCTGCCTGAAAACCATTGGTAGTTATGATTTTGGTGATCTAACGATTAAGAATGGGGATTTGATTATGGTTTGATTTAACTAACAAGCATGATGGGGTTGGATGTCAAACTTAGGAGAAAAACACAATATTACTTTCTCCATACATTATGGAATATGGTTTGGTGACATCAGAAAAACCTCTCTCTATTTGTCATGTCAATAAGAGTTTGATTCCTGTTCAAGTTCCCTAAGGGTCTGGTGAGATCCACTGCTGTTGTCGGGGTGCTTGATAACGGTTTTCACGATATCTGGTGAATGATTAACCCACTCAATGGGTTATTTAATATAGCTGGATGTTAATGGGATTTAATGGGTTGTTATTACTTTGCTGAGATACCCTTATTGGCGACTGTTTCCTCTGGAAATGGAGTTTCAGATTTCCGGAAGTTCCCCCCTTTCCAAACTGAAATAGACATGGTGTTTGACTTCTAGCAGAAAACGGACGATTTCCTGACTCTTGCGCAATGGATTGTCCTAATTCGAAGAAACCGCAGAAACGGTGCTGTTGGATTGATATGCACCGTGTGTATATATATATTATAATAACAACAGTATTTACATACACCAATATAATATATATATATATATTGTATATGATTGTGTATGTATAAATATATGCTAATTGTATATATACACATCATAGTTTTGTATGTATTGTATACATACACATTATTAAGCTATATATATATACACGTGATTACATCAAAAACCATACATATAATTACACATACAATATGTACATATCTGGGTAAACCTTGCTTGAGTAAGTTATATGTTTGTTTAGTTTCTGAGATGATTTTTTACTGGGGACCAGCTTGAAATGAAGTTCTTTTTCAAGGGAGTTTGGCTTTTGCGGTGAAACATCAAAGTTGATTATATGGATATTTCACATATCTGTTACATATGTACCTAAGTTATTGTAGTTTGTGGTTTATGGCAGATATCCATCCATTCAAAATCATTAAAATCACCATCTAATATAGATGCTTAATCACCATTATTAATTAGATGGGTTACCATGAAAATATATGAAAATATATTAAAATCACCATTGGTTTATGGCAAATCATTCCATTGGTTTATCACCATTGGTTTAACATACCATTGGTTTATCATTACAATTAAAATCATTCCATTAGATGGTTTAATGGGTTACCATTAGATGGTTTCCATGAAATACCATTAAAATCACCATTGGTTTATGGTTTATAAACTAATATAGATGGTTAATCACTATTACAGCCATCTAATATAGATGGGTTACCATTAAAATCACCATTGGTTTATGGCAAATCATTCCATTAAAAAATGGCAGATCTACCCATGAAAAAATGCTGACCCCCCTCATCCAGGTCACCATTGCGCGCCGATTAGTGGCGGTCTGTGGATTTCCCAAGGCCGCGCTTGGCGGCCAGCGGGGCCAGCGGGGCCAGCGGCCAGGATCCAGTTGTGATTTAGCTCCAAACTGTTTTAAACTATAGTAATTTATAGTAATTTATGGTAATTTATGGCAATTTATGGTAATTTATGGTAATTTATGGTAATTTATGGTAATTTACCATCAAGCATTGAGTTTTAACCATGAATTGTGAATTAAGCAAGGACACCAAATGGTGTTTCAAACATCAAACGCGGGAATCTGACCATCAAAACAATGGGCATCAACAGGGGAGGGTTATGTGACCAAATGTGTTCATAAATCATAAATCATCAAAAGAAGCAACTGGATGGATAGTTCATGTTGTTTTAGTTGCTTGCAACTTCTATGGGAATATGTACTTTATAAGCAGCCAAAACTCACATTTTTTTGCATTTCATCCAAGTTTGGGTGTGTATCAAGTTGTTTCTTGTTTGTCATGGGAACGGGGCGAATCATTGTGTTGATTTGAGTGCACAAAAAATGGGAACCAATATTTGTTTGAACCATCAGATAAAGGTGTGTTCGACACCATGTTTCTCAACATTACATTGGGATACATTCAGTGTGTTCCAGTGTATGTTCCCAGAAACCAATCCTGAGGTGCTGGTGTGGGTCGGTGCTTGGGAATTCTGGTGAGACCCTCGTGAGAACCTGGTGGAAGAGTCCCGCCTTGGGTGGACCATGCACCATAATGATTCAGGATTTGTTTTTATTTGTCCTTTGAAATAGTTCATCCAATGAAACATGGTACTTAATCTATCTATATATATATGTATACTATATATATATACATGATATTATTTATAGCATTATTTATAGTGTTATGTATAGTATTTTATAGTATTGTTCTATTATACATTCATTATCATTATATAATAATTATTATTAATGATTCTTAGCATTATTAATTTTATTGTATAAGGCTATAATTATATTATTTATTGTATAGTATTATATAATACTCATATATATATATGTATACAGTATATACATTGACATTTGCATTGTTGTTCAGGTGGCACGTTGGATTTTGCAGCGCTTCTGCTCCGACTGGTCCGAAAAGGAGGCGTTTGAAACGGCTCCGGGCTCCGGGCTCCTGAGCCCACGGTGGACCTGTCGTTAAAACTATGGGATTTATATACACTCTATAGGATATCTTAGGGAATATCTACAAGGATATGGGATTTACAGTAGGGTATTTATAAGATATCTTATGGGATTCCATCTATTACAATCTTATGGTAGGTCTATGGGACAAGTTTATGGGATATTTTATGGGATATGTTATGGAATATTTATGGGATAGAATACCAATAAGTACCAATACAACATATAGTGGAATAGTGTCTTATTTCTATCAACAATTCCATCATTCATTTAGAGTAGAGGGATATTTATGAGATATCTATGGAGTATTTATAGGATATTTACCCTCCGGTAGTCAAACAAGGCTTGCTGGAAAATTCCCCGTCTATAAATGATGCTCCCAGCTATAAACCTCTACTCTATGTGTATGGAAATGTATATTGCTATGCTTGATTACCGGATGCTACAACAGAGGTGCTGTAACGGTTCCCGCGATCTGAACATCACCAGCCAGACGGATGGCTTTCTCCTGGTCTTGTATGGAGAAATTCTCAACTCGCTTAGTGCCATGGGTCATCCATATTTTTCCGGCAGACATAAGAATCCGGCCATTTTGGGTGGAAATCCCCAATGGCTGTTGGTCAAACTCCCCTGTTTTTTCGGGTCGACTCCGCGGTAGGTTGAGTCGGCTCCCCTGATGCGCTGGCTGGTGGCCACCTACAGTGATTCTCTGAAGCGCCGTGACGTCGACGGGGCGACGGGGCTCTGGCTGGTCATGAAATATACCCTCTGGATCCCTATGGTAAACTAACATAATTATGGAAAATCACAATTTTTAATGGTTAAATCCACTATAAATGGCCATTTTCAATAGCTATTTTAAATTACCAGAGGGTATGTTTGGAATTGTTTGGAGCCATGAATCAATTGTTTAAGTGTTGTTCTTTGTGGTAGAATTAGTGTTTTTTTTTTGTGTTAACAATATATGTTCCATTTTATTTGTTCATATGGAATATGCTGTACTCGTATGTGTTAAAAACTGGTGTATAACTACAGTATCTACATTGTTACTGTAGTATGTGTTAATGAATCGTAATATGGATACATTAAAAAATATGGAGTGATCTAAAGACAACCTGTAATGGAATAGCATGGGGACATCGATATGGATGTATAATATAATAAAAATAAAAATAAATAAAAATGAAAAAACATAATTAATAATTAATAATAATAATGAAAAATAATAATAATAATACATATATATATATGTAATCAACTTGTTATGTGATATTTGTGTGTTTGTGTGTGCAAAAATGGGTGATACCCCAGAACGGTAATGTTGATGATGAACATCATGATCAATCAATGGATTGGAGGGTATACCGGGTATATATATATATATATTATATAGACCCTATAGTTGGGCAAATTCATTTAATTGAGAAATCCACGAGCTTTGATTGGGGAAACCAATGGGTAAATATCCCATGTCTTCCTTGGACTGAAGCAGCCCGGTTTTCTGGGTGAAAAAAAACGTGGGTTGGTTAGATACTAATATATATATTTATCCATATACATATAATTATACCCATATATATATATATATATCCATATACATATAATTATATCCATACATACATATATATATATATATTCATATATATATATGTACATATCCATATATATATATATATTCATATATATATATATGTACATATCCATATATACATATATATATACATATATATATGTACATATCCATATATATATAAATATCCTGATATATCCGAAGATGTCCGAACATGTCTTCGTTACATTCTCATTTCCATCAAGACACCCTACATAGAATCATATCTCTCTACTTGGTGCCCACCTGTACTGTGGTTAAATCGCTGTTGCAGGCAACAACAAATGCAAACTTTGTGTAGCCAACTTTTGTATTTGTAGTGAACTCCTAGTTTGAGCTCATTCCAAGTTCGGTGTTATATACTGCGTTACGCCCAATGATAAACACTGTATGAGGTTGGTAGAATGGTGCCCAAAGGGTAAGTTTAGGTATGGTTAAGCTTGGGATCGATTATCAGCCACAAAAAAAGTGTTCAACCACCCTCCCAAATGAATATGGGGTTGTCTCAAAAATTGGACCCCGCAAATCTACCAAACATATCCAAAATCTCCGTTGGATCCCATGGTTTCTCCCCCAGCTCCACCAGCCGAGGCGTTTGGACCTTTCAGAATTGCCCAGCAGACGTTGGAACCGGGTGCGGAAGCTGTCACGTTGAGGAGCCTGAAACCCCTGAAACCCCTGAAAGTGGTAACCGTCGCAACCCGGTAAACCCAAAATGGCTGGGTGATCCATAAAATGAGGATGGATATGATATAAGATGGGAAAATCATCCATAAAATGAGGATGTTTGTGGGATATAACTTTCCAACTTGAATGTGAGCCACCGCAAAAAACGCGGGCAATAGGAAACATGTAAGGGACGGAGATTGGCTTTCAGAAATTGTGCAAACATGAGGTACTGTAACCGATGGGACCTTCTCAAATGGCGATACATACGTTTAAGGTTATGTCATCATACCGACCGTAATACCTGTGCACATACTATACTTAATTTTCCTTCAAGCGATGCCACCCAAATTTGCCGTACAAATGTGCAGACGTGTAGTAAGCGATGGGACCTTCCCAAATTGTTTGATGTCCTTTTCGTGAACCTTGAGTTTACGAGGTTGCCGTCATGATATTTGAGTTTTCCCAGTGTTTTTTGAGTTCAGTGTGCAAGCAGTTTCTTTTGTCTTGTTTTTTTTTTAACAGCCAATCAACAAAGCGACCATGTTAGTGAGTGGTTTCAAACACAAGCAGCTGTTGTTTTCATAGATTGTTTTCCCGAACCCAGGGTTTCTGAATCCCATTAGATATCCTAGGTTGCCAGAGGTTCTCATCGAAGTTCACAACTCCCGGCAATAGAACTTGATCCAGCAGTTCCCCAAGGGTTTAAAGCCCTCGTGATTTGCACTTCTCAGCAGCTCAATGTGTCAGGATGGTCAAAGATGCATTAAACACATGTGTGTGTGTGTTTGTGGTTGTATGATGTCATACTGTCCTTTTTTTTTATATTGCTTTATGATGTTTTATGTGTACATACATTACCATACTCATACAAATACGTGCACGCGCGAAACCTACATAGTTAGAAAATGTTAGAAACTTTATACAACCATATCAATATCCTATGAACTATGTATATAATATATAATGTTATATTGTATCACAACACCATATGATACCACGCCGTATCATATCATGCCATAACCATATCATGTCATGTCATGTCATGACATTTGATGTATCAGGAAGCCATGCATGACCCCAGCAACCTACAATATTTACACACTGCAAGCATGAATAGCAAATAAACATACAGATAATTGAGAAAGAAAACACCTTAATTATGTGCCATTTTCAAAAGCAGCTAGGTTTGGAGAATTTTATCAGCAGATTATTACCCTGCGTTCACCTTCTGCATATCCCCTTCTTCAATGGTTGAACATGTTGGATCCAAATTTTGCTGGCAGAATCTCCATGACTGGTGAAATCCGAATTTTGGTTCACATTAAAACTTAAGTGTTTTGCTGATGGCGAACAGCCAACATTTGTGTATGTTGGACGTGCAAAAAGGTGGAGATGCAGCTACAGTCGGAGGTGTCCTCCTTAGCACATCTCTTCATATGGCTCGTTCCTTGAGAGAAATTCAGACTGGGAGATCAGTGGGGGGTTTTTGAAATCATGGGGATATGATGGAAAGTAGAACTATGGGCTATATCGGTATGGATCAATACCTATTAATACCATTTTTAGGGGGATGAACATCCATTTACCAGCTATTTTGAGGTTCACCAGGGGTACAAGGTTTTGACACACTGCCATATGGGAGACAATGGGGATATCCAAAAGGATTGAATTTTTATGGGACAGATGGGACAGGATGTTTTTTCAAATCCACCAACCAAATATAGGTGTCATGATCAAAAGTTGGATTTACGGTATATCGGTATATCCTAATTGGCATTTACAATCCACCAGCTAACCTGGACCTCGAGACCATTCACGGAGTCTATGGCAGGGTCTATGTAATGAGGACATTTATGTGGGATAAAAACTGAAAATTGTTCAACAACTTGATATGATATGTCTAGGTCAATCTTGGATGGGAGATTATCTACTAACCAGCTAAGCATTTTTTTTGCAGGGTATCTGGTTAATAGATACTTAGCTGGTCAATAGATTTTGGCAGTTCTTAGCCAGCTTAAATGAGATTATGCAGGGTATTGCATTGTTTTTTGGCCATGATTTGGTTTTTGCGATTTATCCCCAGATGAAACTTGGAAAATGGTGCAGCTTTCCACGAGGAAAAACACATGGAATTTTGGTCATGTCGGAAGCGCATGGGAGATCCCCACTGGAGACTTGCTGGGAAAGTAATCTCTAATTTGTGGGTTTTCCATTGTCATATTTGAGTAATGTGGGTAAAACAATGCCATAAACCATCCCCCAAATCACCATTTGTATAGGTGGCATAAACCGTTCCTAAATGGGTGGTGTATTATTGTTTTACGCACATTACTGGAGGCTCCACACTAATACATGAGGCCTTCTTTGGCACCAGAATGCTCTTCCATTTTCGGGAAATATCATCCCAAATTCATTGGTTGCAAAAGACAGTGGCTTAAACATTGCAGAGAATAGGTCGAGACTGGAGAGGATACGGCATGTCCACAGGAAATTGTTTAATGTTGTACGTCGATATTAGGATTTGTTTGCCCTTTCTCAGCAACATGCACCAAATCTCGAAGCAAATGGCGGACATTTGCAAGTAGGTGTCCTATTTCTATCTGTGGAGATTTCTCATTCGCGCACTCACTTGCAGCGGACGGATCCATCAATCCAAGCTGAGCAGAGGGCCTCTTCAGACCCCGGCGATACTAAACACAAGACTGGCTGGCACAGTTCACGCCAGCACTGGAGTTCAGAAAGAAAAGTGAGCCCATCCATTTTGCGGTGTCTCATCAAAATCAACCGGCTGCGGCTTCACCCCCTACGAGCCGGTATCCTGTGACTGCAAGCCTGTTCAGCACCGCAACAATCTTTGAGTTTCAGTGCCACTGTATGAAAGATTTTGTTTTGCAAAACAAGGGGGGTTCCCCTCTTGCGTTACGGTGTTTTTTGTAACGCTCGCCCCTCCCTTCCCTCCATCCCAAAAACCAAAAGGCACCCCTCTCTCGAAGCCCGTCGCAAGAGCATTGCTTTTTGGAACCCCACCCTTCCCTTCCCACTTCCCGTTACAAAAGCAGTCCTTCCCAAACCAATACAAGCACCGCTTTCTTCAACCCCGCTACAAAAAGCATTGCTTCCCCTTCCTTCCCCCCTCCTGTTACAAAAAGCACCGCTTTATTTATCATTCCACCCTTCCTGTTCCCTCCCCAAGTTATAAACAGCATTGCTTTTTGTAACGCCCCCTGCGAAGCAGATGTCTGAGCAAGCGCCAAAAAATGCTTGGTCTCGGCGAAGGAGTTCGAAGACATCGGATGGGCATCTCTAGAAATGGTGCGTGTGCCGCCAAATGGCCGAGTTCAAAGGGTCAGTGATGATAATCCGACGGAATGAAGCGGACCGTCTTTTCCAAAGAAACTCTCATGCAATGTCAAAGTTCCATTTAGGGCAATGTCTATATAACTAAAAATAGTTATATTATGTTATATTAACAAATACAAGAATAATTTCAATATAATATGAATAACTATAGGGCAGGCTCAGTGTGGAGCCCCGTGACTGGAGGGTAACAAGGCTTGCAAATGGGCCCAAATGTTCCTCGCCTATCAGCTTCTAGCATCCAAGGCTTGAATGCCGTCTGGCAAACATCGACATGGAACATCCGTTGATGGTTACACATGTATATGATTGTATATGTATATATGTACAATATATATATATGATTATATTTATATGATGTTCCATGAATTGACCATTCAAACGTCCATTTATAATGACACCATCAAGCATTTAATTTGTTTTTGTCTTCAAACTGGCAATGTTCCGTTGTCATGTTCTGACTACCAGACAGATAATGTCACTCATCCTGACCAATTGTCAGTCACATCATAAAATATAATGATAAGATGGCAATGTTGATGGCAATGGCAGTTTGGTGATTGCTATGACTTCAACTTTCAACCTGCCATCCTTGCTGACCAAGTTCGTTTGGTTGGTTTTATATATGGTGTTGACTTTTTTTGTGTCGGTACAAGTCCACTTGTTATGTGTACAAAAAATGATAATACAACCGCATAGTATTATCGCGGTGCAAGGTATATCAACGCCCCAAAAAATATAGAAAAAACATACATAACAATATAAAATAATATAAATATATAGATATAAATTATTAAAGTCCTACCAACAAATATATATATATATTATATATATAGATTATCATAGATTTATAAATAGCTGCTCTGTTTTTTGCTGCCGGGGTAACAAACCACCGAGAAATTGCTGCGGCTTCAGGTGGAAAATATGGCGCCGGAGTCGGTGACCGACGTGCTGTCGCTGGGGCGGCACTTTAAGCAACGAACATGGGGATCTAATCTATGACGAGATATGACTGATGATGATCTGCTTGGTGGTGTTCAATATGTATAATATAGGACAGGATAATATAACTTTAATATGTAAATATATATATATATATATTACATATGCATCATTGATGACTTAATTGTTTTTTCTCAAATCTACATTGTGATCGTTAAATCCACAATCAACGTGATGGATCTCGCACCAAAACCTCCATGTTCATAGTTAAACCTTCATGTTTGCTGGTTATACAATCCATTACCCCTCATGTTTGTTTGGTCAATCCCATTTTGGGTCATTTTTCTTGTTTGAACCTGTCATGTTGTGTTCAATCTCATCAAAAAGATATCAGTGCGCAAAACATCATCGTATAACCACCATGTTTTAACATATAAAAATCAGGTTTAACCCCCTCATACCCTCTCATTTTTTGGTCATTGATGGGCGACCCCCATGGTTTTGGTTATTTTTGATGGGTGAAGCATGGCGCCCAGGTGGCTATGCCTGGACTACCCGGCCCACGGCGCCTTGGCGGCCGCCTCCGTCTGTCGCGACGCGGCGGAGGAGTACCAGAGCCGTGGCGGGTGCCCTGGCGGAAGCCGAGGGTTCACCGAAACAGAAAAATGTAGACTTTAACTGAAAAATAGTGGATCTAGCCATCAAACATGACAGACGGTGTGGTTCCAGCAAGAAAAATTGGGGTTTGAAGCGAACACATTTTAAAAGATGCGGTGTAATCAAGAAAAAATAGAGTTGAAGTTGAAGCAACATCCAATGAACTTCACTACCCATGCGGTTAAACCAAAAACAATTACCGAATAATTGGGTTCAATGAACTATCTGAAATGAAGGGGTGAATGAATGGTTCAACCAGCGAACATAGTGGTTTTACCATGAAAAATTGGGATTTCACCAACAAAAATGGTGGTACATGGGGATATTGACGGGAATACATAGAAGGCAAATTTTCCATGGTAGGTGAAACGGGGTACATGGGGTACGAGTATCGAACTTGATGGGCCATGGTTTCCAGTTCGCTATGTTAAATTACCAGAGGGCAATGACTTGTATATACCTGCATATTTCCTAATGAGGATTGATGTGAATGGAGGTATACATGAATTGGATTATATTGTGGTTTCTAACCAAACCTAAAGGGGATATAATGCAGATATAGATGGACATAATGCAATACATAAATATATTGTAACCCACTTGACATCAAATTTGGATCCGTCGAATTAACAATGGATACCCGTAAAAGTGTTTTTTTTGTTTTTTCGATGGAGAAAATGGCGATAAACTAAGTGGATCTATCCAGGGCACACAATTTTCAGACAAACCCAAATGGGGGATCGTTGGGCCAAGAACAACGAGCAGATACCAAATGATATGGTATGATATGGTATTATGATACATGAAACAATGATATTTTGTCGAAAACAACTGGACATATTTCTGCACAGAAAGCCTTTTTGAAATCTGAAGATTTTAGCATTACAAACCACACACAACCACACACTGGTTGAGATGGACATGGCAATTCTGGTGTTAGACTGTGGTACTCCAACATGGCAGGCCTTGGCAGGTCTAACATTTCCTAACTATGACATGTCAGGTTTTCCATGGTTCTCCATGGTTGTTTTTCCCTTGGGAGGTGCAACGAGGTCGGTCGGAGAAATGTAGGCCAGTATATACATATATATATACATATATATATATATATAATATTATATATATACGCGTATTCAGACATGTATATGTACAAAATATCCGTGAAACCATATACCATCTGGTAACAACTAACAGTTTGCAAAATAGATCACCCTTGTTTCAGTTCATCGGTCACTGTAGCCATGGCCTCCCTGGGTCGCTCTACTCAGGAGCTACGGTGAGACCATGGTGTCCCAGCGCTTGTTGAAACGTGCGAATCGCTTTGAGGCGGAACGGCGCCACCAGGGAGCAGTGGCTCTTTCAAGCCCTGGATGATTGCTATACGATCCTTATCCATGTTGGAATCCGTATCGTTGAGGATATGATATATACAATCATCCGACATTAGGGAATTACTCATGATATTATTAGTTTTTCCAATAGATTGATATAGATTGGGGATCATCATTGATTATCACAATCCAGCTGGGAATCCCATGGATGGTTCCCAAGGACCAGATTTTGGTATTATTTGGTGATAAACCATGAACGGGAATATCATTTCAAGCAACACATCAAGCGGCTATGGCTCTAAAGTAAAAATTACTTTACTTCGTGTGATCCCCACCATGAAATTTATACATTTTGTTACTGGCAAATCTTCTGGCATTCTATCTGACATATTTTCTGGCATTCGATCTGGCATTCTATCTGGCATATCTTCTGGCATTCTACCTGGCATATCTTCTGGCAGATGTTCTGGCATATCTTCTGGCAGATGTTCTGGCATATCTTCTGGCATATCTTCTGGCATATCTGGCATATCTTCTGGCATTCCATCTGGCATTCTATCTGGCATATCTTCTGGCATATTATCTGGCAAATCTTCTGGCATTCCATCTGGCATTCTATCTAGCATATCTTCTGGCATATTATCTGGCAAATCTGCTGGCATTCTATCTGGCAAACATTCTGGCACTTTATCTGGCATATCTTCTGGCATTCTATCTGGCATTCTATCTGGCATACCTTCTGGCATTCTATCTGGCATATCTTCTAACATTCTATCTGGCATATCTTCTGGCACTCTATGTGGCATATCTTTTGGCGTGGATACTCGCGGTTGAGGTCCGGCAGGGAACACTGGGCATGGATACTCGCGGTTGAGGTCCGGCAGGGAACACTGGGCGTGGATGGTCGTGGTTGAGGTCCGGCAGGGAACACTGGGCGGGGATGGTCGCGGTTGAGGTCCGGCAGGGAACACTGGGCGTGGATGGTCGTGGTTGAGGTCCGGCAGGGAACACTGTGGTCGCGGGTCGCAGTTGGACGAGGACGACGAGGACGACGAGGACGACAAGGACGACAAGGATGACAAGGAGGACGAGGAGGAGGAGGACGAGGCAGGAGGAGGCGGAGGAGGAGGAGCAGGAGGAGGAGGAGGAGGCAACTGACATAAAATCTAACAACCCTCACCTGGCAGGTGGGGAACAATAGAACAGGAATCGTAACAAACAAATCTAGAAACCTCAATTCAAGTGGTGAATCCTTTGACTTTCAAGGTCTATGACTTGGTCTTTTTTTTTTTGGACGCGTTAGGGAAGTTGGGGGGAAGGGGTTCCAGCTCCCAGGCCATGGCTATCCGGCTGTTGCAAGGCGGGCGGGTTGTGGGACCTCCAAATCCAATGGTCCCATAGCATCTTTTTCTCGGCGATGGCAATTGCTGGCCCCATTTTCAGACGCACAAAAAGATATCACATCAAGTTGGTTATAATATACATATATATATATCTAATTATATATATATATATATAATTATATATAATCCCTTACATCCCCATTGATATCCCAATCTCCATCATCTCCCCATCAGATTTGCAGCATGTTTGGATGTCTATCCCCCTTTTGATTAGAAAAAAACACACACATCATTGCATCCCCATGATATCCCCTCGACATCTCCATCATATTCCTATCAAATCCCATGAAATCCTATTAAAGTATGCCCCATGATCTCCCGTTGAATCCCCCATGATCTCCCCCCGCCCTGGGCGCCCTCCAGGTCTGGATCGCGTGGACCCATTGGAGTACGTCTTCCGGCGTTCCTGGCGATGGGGAAATCATCATCTCATCTCTTTGGCGCATCACCTGGAGTGCATCTTGGAGAAACTTTCTGCTGGATTTGATATGGGGATTTTAAGCATTGAACATGGGGAGTCTAAACCACGGAACATGGAGATTTATATAATAGGGATTTATATTATAGGGATTGAAGCAACAAAAAATGTGATTTAATGGATATTTATTTACTGTAGTTAAAATATAGGGATTGAATGGGGATTGTAACCATTGAACATTGGTATCTAATATGGATTTAATAGGGATTGAATGGGGATATTGAATGGGGATTGAACTAAGTGGATCTAGTGAAGATTTGCTATGGATTTACTAACTAGGGGTTTCATTGAACGTGGTGATTTTACCATTGAACATTGGGATTCCGTCGTGATGATTTAATCGGGATACAATCGTTATTTGGCCATCAAAGAATGTGGATTTAACGAGCAAAAACGAAGATCAATATATAATGGGCATTTCATAGGAATTTAATGACAGTCTTCTGGGGGATTTCATGGGGATTCCAGGGTTTGTTTCAGAGAAGTTGAGAGAAGCACCTATATGTTGCAGTATTTAAGCGTAATTTGTCTTTATAATGTGATGTACACATTGTGACAAACCAGTTTCTTGGAGAACATAGGTTAAACAGTAGTAAACCAAGAAGATGGAAATGGAACATAAACCACAATAAACCACAATAAACCACAATAAACCCCAAAGATTCCTTGTTTTCTCAATGGAACCTGGAAATTGGATTTGAAGACCATGGAGTTTTTGTCTCAGAAGATTTGAAGCTCAAAACCTCCAACATTAATGTACTGTATGTATAATTAGGTACATATACATATATAACCATACATAATATATATATATATACATAATAGATATATATATATATACATATATATGTACGACCATTTGCCAACAAAGATGACAGAAATTTTGCACCAGCAGTTGATAATTTGTGTGGATCTAGATGTTTTTCCTCGTCGTTATGAGGCGGCACGCCACTAAATTCACCAATTCTGCAAGGCAACGCTAGCAAACCCGCTAGGTTTGCGCTAGTTAGCCGCTGCTTCTTTTGATTTCCACATGTTCAAAGATATTTTCTATGGGTTCCTGACTGCTTGTTATTTCAACATAAAGTTAGTTACGATGTAACGCTCAGCGCCTTCAACCTAAGCATGTGTTACTGAATTTCTGTGCCAAACATTTTACTATATGTTTAACGTTGTCTTTCAATTTTGCGAATTTGTCCGTAATTTTACCCGCTAGCAATGCGCTAGCAAAAGTTGCAAAAAGCGGCTTTTGCTGACCTTTGACACAAGCAACAGTGACAGCAAAGGCAACGACAAGCCCTGCAGCAGATTGAAAAAACTTCCAGTTCCACGACTGATAACTAGCAGCGGCACCCACTCCATATAGACGTGCGTTAGCATTTCCTTCAGGTTTTAGCTACGGTTTCAAACATGCAAGATAAAATGCAGGGTTTCAGGCTATTTCAAGAAGTCATCGTTTTGCATACGAAACAAGAATACATTTTGACAAACTGTCATATACTGTACATATACCCTATGCTTCCAAAGGATGTTTCTGCTATAGTCGCTCCCACTTAGCCTATAACAGAATTGAGAGGATATATCAGGATTTTCACCCGTATAGTCTTTTGGGTTTTGCCCGTATAGTCCTTCATCATTTCCTGGTATAGGCGTTCGACATGACCTTACCACCATTAGATGATAAATGCATTCCCAAGAAACTTGCAAACCACACATCCAAACCTAGCACGCGTAACAGCAATCCTTTTTGCACTGGCTACTTCAACTGGTGTTTGAGAACCTTTCGTCGCGCAGAAGAATTCAACCTTGCGTTGCTTCCAAAGCAAAACATCCAAAAATCCAACGTGTTAAACCTCTTAATCTTGTTTCATTTATCATAACAATTTAAGCACTTGGAAAATTGAAAACACTGAAAACAACGGGCCAATGTATCTCGCAAGTACTCTCGAACTTTGGACTTGAGCGCAAGGATACGCAGCTTTGTCATACTCAAGACAAAATTGGCACGTCGATTGGGATGAGCTCGTAATGCCACACCTCACAAAACTTGTGCAGTACTGTTGCCACATCTTTTACATCACATGGTTCTTTCCAAAAAAAACTGGCAAACATGACAAACTAAAAGTTTGCAAACTTTAGCCGCCGTTGCATTTCAACCAGTTCATGCCGTCCTCATCCGTAAAACAGTGGAACCAGCGATGGTTTCTTCCCAATTTGCAGTCATGCACCAAATGCAGTAGCATCTTAGTTTTGATGCTTGGACTTGAAAAACATTATCATGTTTGAATCAAATCTTGCTGGGTTCACAAACCAAACAGCCAAACAAAATGTAGAAAATGGCAAGGATCATGCAGCTTTGGTCGTAGCCGCAATTCATCACGGTTAAGCCTCAGGGATAGAGACTACTCGGCTCAGCGTGGCTTGGCACCCTTACCCAACATCTTTTAAAATCAAACAACACCAACCTGCCTGATGGCATGCCAAGCTAGGTCAGTGTATCTTTTGCACAGCAGCATGCCACAGTCATATGCCTCCCTCTTTCGAGAAAGAAACCGTCCTTCGCATTCCTGTAGACCCAAGAATCTTGACAAAGCTGTCCTGAGAGATGAAAGTTTAAAATCACACACATGTTTTCCACCTGGTTTACCCTTAAGAATTGGAGGGGGGGGCGAGTAAACACACAAAAAAACATATGGTCATATGGTAATTCATCTTTGGGTCCCAGTTTCAAGCAAGAGTAAAGCAAAGGGATTTGGTTCTCATCATCAGGGAAGCCAATAGTCATGGCTCGATCAAAGCAAGATCGCAGCCACTCCGCGATGCATCGTCCATTGTAAGCTTTCGAGGTGAATAAGATTTGACCCGTCTTTTTGTAAATCTTAGTTGCAACATGGTGCAAGGAACAAACCACAGTATTTTTCAGGGTGTTCCTGATTGCCCACCAACAAAAGAAAACCAACCTAAGATTCTGATTTCCCTCAAGGTGCCATATAGTGTCGAAACCTCGGTTGTGAGCAGTAGATTTTTTTAGATTTGCAAAACGCTTGGAAGTTGTCATAAGCAAGGTTGAGCTGGTCCTGGAGCGATGCATTCTCCGCATGGCAAAAATAGTTGACTCGCAAGAGGCAATTCCTAGGGGCTAGCTGCAAGCAGATCCATTCATAATTTAAGCACATGTTAGGAGTACAAATTGGTGGAACACAAAGGTGCAAGTAAACATAAAATACTGTTATATAGACTAAGTGGGAGCGACTATGGCAGAAACATCCTTTGGAAGCATAGGGAAAATATTGAAAGGAACAACATATCAATCAAAGCATCAATCCACAACCGTTCAGATCGAACATGAGGCCAATGTTCAAAACATGCATTGAACAGATCTGCAACAAGCCCGGATGAAAGCCGTGCAACAAAATCAGCGGGCCTTGAACGGTTGCAAGGCTGACTAGTATACATATGTTTTTGGATGTTCGAGGACAACCCACATAGAACAGGACAATGAAATAGTAAAATTTCGAGTTGAAACTTAGCAAATTAGTGCAAGGAGCATGGTGGGGAATGTCGAATTTGGGATGCCAAAAATTCGGTCAGGCTGTACTCTTTCCAATTAGGATCATCATCCAAGCAATAATACAGTTTTTTTGGGTCGTCGTCGGACTTTGCCGCGCAATCGCAACGGAAACACACGTTGTTCTTGGCACCCTTCCAACTGCTTGTCAAGTCAAATAGCTGTTTATGCCATTCCCAGTCACCGCGCAGCTCCGAACAGAAAAACTTCATCCTCTGACCATTTAATCCCTCAATCCCGTGTTCAAACAGCATATTTAATTTCCAAGTTATCCTTTGAAGAATCGGTTGTAAGGTTTCTCTGCCATAGAGCTTCGCAACTTCTAAGCTGAAAATGCACCACCGGCTGTATCGAGTCGATCGAGGTCGCCAAAGAGGAAAGGATATGAATATGCCCAAATATTTCGAATCAGCTCGCGTAGGGTACAAACGGCAGGAATCACCATACAACGCTATGGGAATGTGGTTGTTAGATGCTGGGCAATCAGTCACCCATTTTTCTCCGGACATCCGTTTTTTCTCCCAAAAATCGTTTACCAGCTCTTGGGGAATTGTCAATCCTTGTTTGAATAGGTATGCTACCAACTTGTCAGGGTCCAGAAGGGGAACCGTCACAACCTCATATCCATTGGTGTAATTGAGCTTTGCAACCTTCACATCGATGAGTGTGTGCTCCTTAGCGCATGGTCATCCCTATCATCTATTTAGAAGAACAAAAGCCGCCAGATTGCCATTCATATTAAATTGTGTGGGTTTATAAAATTGAACATAATGATTGCGATATATGATAACTGTCATAAGACTATACGGGTGAAAATCCTGATATATCCTCTCAATTCTGTTATAGGCCAAGTGGGCGTGACTATAGCAGAAACATCCTTTGGAAGCATAGGGAGATCTTTGATTCATATGAGGTAGACCGTTAGTCTCTACATTCTCCCGGGGAAGACTGGGTAAACATGTGAGGTTCACGTGGTTGAGCTCCAAATAACTCATGTTTTGGAAAGGTTGCCAAAACAATGGCTACATTAGAGCCTAGAGACTAATGCTTTCGCAATACCAGAGGCTCTCATAAAATCTCGTGTTGCATTGGTGTTGGCATCACTCGTGCTCCCGATCCGCAAGCTTCTTGGATGAACATGGTCACCAGACTCCTGCGGAGCGCGGGAAAACTAATGTGGGGCCCCCTAGGTAGCTAAATTGGTTTATCTATAATTATTATTTATAAGTCCAATAACTATGGTTTATTATACCGTTAATATCCGTTAATGGGGTATATAAATTAACTTTTAACTGGGGGCCTATATTATATAATATTGGCTAAGTGGGAGCGACAATAGCAAAAACATCCTTTGGAAGCATAGGGTTATAATAACAAATAATATGGGACTGAAGTTGTTGGAAAACTGTT